CTGATTTTGAGCTTTGTGCTTGATTGTTGGGTGTCTTTTTAAATTACCCCCTGCTCTGAAAAGGGCATCAAAGCCCTTCCATGGTAGGCAGCCAGGTGCATGCAGAAGAGCCCAGTGAGAGGACAAAGTGCATTTCCACACCAGGCACTTCCCAAGAATAGCCTCTGGCTCAGAAATAGTTTCCAGAGTTTCATTCAAAGACCATGCTCAGCATTTCTTTCCCCCACTGTATCCCCTGCTTCCTGCCATTTCACTTAGAACAGCCCTGTGTGTGGGCAAATCGACAGCTCTATGCAGTTCTCCTCCCCAGACAGCAGTAGCTCTGTGCTCTTGTGTGCCAGGTAGATCACCAGGAGACTCAGAAGGGTGTCAGGACCAACAAAGGGAACTCCCATCATTCCAGCTCCCAGCCGCAGGGAAACGCTACGGGCATCTCAGGAGTGCTGTGAGGCCACGCAGCGGTTAAGGTTGTTCAAGCCTTAACCATGGCACTTGTGAGGATGTGTTCTCAGCGAGAGCGCAACCCCTTTCCCAGAGTCTTTAAACTTGAACTCGTGGACTTATATGCCAGAGGGAGAAGAAAACCCTTATGGGCTTAAAATGATGGGTATTTTCACACATGCGTTAGCATACCAATGCTATGTCCTAAGAACCAAAGCCAAAGCATTAAGTAGCATGGTTGATCAGCTGCTGCATTTCCAGAGCAGATGCAAGCAGGAAAAACAAGGATGACTTTTTTGGAAAGTTTCCTTTCTGGAGGTAGCAACTGTAAGTTGCCCCAGCCTCCCAAGGAGCCATTAGTTTATTAAAGGGCCCATTCTCCTGTCTTGCATCACTCCTTTGTCTAGAAGTTTGTGCTGTCAGGGAGGAGATCCCGGTGTGCCTGAGCAAAGGTGTGTCTAGGCTGGTCTGTCGTCGGTCTGACCAGAGGTCAGGGACTGAGGGAGGCCGTCTCCCCAGGCACTTCTAGAAGTATCTAGCAAGGCAGAACCTTGTCACGGGGACAGCCAAGAGCCACGGAGAGAGGAGAGTCCCCCAAATGGAAATACAGTTAACATCTCTTGGGAGACTTTCAGCCTTACCCAACTGAGATGAATTACCTGCCTCCCTGCTCCACCACTTGGAATATATTTTTTAGGATATTTTCATGAGCGACACATTTGCCACCCCTTTATAAATCAGTTACAGAACAGAAACTCTTCCTCACTGCGAGGCAGAAATGTAGAAGGGGAGGGCAAAAAGTCTTGCCTGTAATTGAAGGCAGGTTGAGAGATGTTCATGCTTTGAAATTCTCCTTCTTGTGAAATGTTTATGAAACATTTTCCACAAATGAGTTATGCAACCGGGACAGTAGCTTTGATGGTTTTCATCACCAGTGATACATTCGTTAGTGCTGGTCTGTGTTTCCCCTGGAGAGGGCCGTGTGAAAATGTCATGGGGGGTAAGAAGAGCACCCCAGTCCCCCTGTACCCTGTTGCATGACCCCAAACAGATGGTTAGTACGGATTTGGAGTGTGTGTCTGAGCCAGAACACCATCTTCTCCATCACCTGTGGTCTACTCTCTCCTCTACCCCTGGGATATTGGTAGTATTGTTTCGCAGAAAGGGCACCAGGGGAGGGTCAGAGGACCATACCCTTGTCAGAGTTATGCCAGTGATTTGTGAGGTAACTTTAGACCCATCCGTGAAGCTCTCTGGGCCTTCCTGGGCTGGGAGGGTAAACACCTGTCCCCACGCCTCCTGTCTGGGAGACGAAGCCAAGTAGGGAAAGTGTGAAGGGCTCCCAGCTCCTCAGAAGGGGCTCTCTCCTTCCAGAACGAGGCTGCTGCTTCCTCGAGCAGGTGATGTCAGGGAGTTCACTCGGATTAAGAAAGATAATCACCCAGGATACCTTTTTACCTCCCTGGTCACTACCCAAACTCTGTGTAACACTTTCACACAGTGTGGTGGGTGGGGAAGAGGCTAAGCCGACAGGCCGTGTCTGTATGAGCAGGAAGGGCAGGGCTGCCACCGGGCAGAGCCCACCGTGGGGCCGTGTCCCCAGGGATCAGTTCAGCCCAAGCATAGTCTGCAGAAATATTCCACTTGCGTGAGAACTGCCAAAGGGACCCTGGAGATGATCTTCGCGGTTCTAGGCGGGCTGTGGGTTTGGTTGGGTTTTCACAAGTACAGGGGAGGCTGGGTTTTCATCCAACTTGCCTCCGGTTCTCACATTAGAAGCCAGTGGGATCCAGCGAAGTCTCGATCTCATCTTCCAGATCCACAGCCAACGCCCAGTTGCCTGGAGAGACTCCAGTCTTTTCCATTCGATGGCTGTGAAAGGGGTTTTTGATGGGAGGGGCTTTACTTGTGAATTCCTTAGTTCCTGAGCCCCCGACGCCTCGGCAGAGTGTGCCGAGGTGGCCGGAGCCGAGGCGCCTGCCTGCCTTTGACTCCAGCTCTGCTCCCTGAGACCCACAAGCAAAGCAGGGAGTCTAGACCTTGGTGTAGAAAAAGAGGCTCTTTTATTGCCTTTCACTTTGGTTTGTTTAAGATCGCCTTCTCTGGGGGTTACTATCAGCGCCTCACACCCAACGGGGTAATGAATTATGAAAAATGAAAAGGTGAAAGGTTGGCCAAGAAAAACAGAAGAATAGCACACAGGTCGTCGGAACGTCACAGACTGACACCCAAAGAAACTTTCTGCTTTCGGCACTTTGTTTTCAGGATTGGGAGGTGGTCAGTGCCCCTAAAGCAGTGTGAAGGACAGTTGATCCAGGAAGCAGACGAAAGGGGGACTCTTTTATGGTGGCTCTGGTTTCTGAAATTAAGTGCTGTAGGAAGACCTGGCACTGGTTCTAACAGATAGCGCTCAGGCTGGAGGCAGAGCACATGCTTTCAAGCTCTGTCACAGCTGCGCCTCCCTATCTCCGCAGCAGAATGAGCCTGTAAGAGCCCTGCCACTCGCCTGGCGCTGGAGCGTGGCCAGACCGCCTGCGGGTCCCACCACGGTTTCAGCTCCGTCTTCCAGGCTCTCTCCCCATCTCCGGCCTCCACGCGGTGGCTCTGGATGCGGGATAGAGGGATAGAGGGAGATGGGGGGGGGGGCAGCCGGCCAAATAAGCTTTGCTTACGTAAAATCTCCAGAGCAAACCTTGAGGTGGTTGTAGTGGTATTTTGAAATAAGTAGTTCATCATTTTTTCTAGCTTTGTAAAACGTTTCCCTAGAATTTAGACTGTGAGAGCTCCAGTGTGGGGAGAGATTTAGGATACCAGGGCTCCTTAGACTGCAGTGCCCAGCATGGGTAGAAAGGGCTGAGGGGTGCTGGGCAGGGGATGGGGCTGTCCTGGGGTCACTCCCAAGTGGCCATGCTTTTCTGAGTTTTCAGAAAGCCTCACTCTCTGTGCCCACCATGCCACTTTCCATCTCCCTTCCTCCTCCTCTGTGTTTCGGAGACTCCAGAAGGGTCCCTCTTAGGTGAGAGGAGAAGAGGGGAATGCTTTGTAAAGCTGTCCCTGCAGGAAGCATACTCTTTCCAATTTCTGGGCAGCCAGGGCTTCTTGTTGCTGCTTAGATCTACTTTACCTGAGACACTGCAGCATCCTGGACTAGCCCAGGATGCCAAATGCACTATGGAACTGGAATTTGTAATTCTATTTTAGGACTCAAAGGGGAAAAAATCATGTAGAATCATATAACAGATGAGGAAACTGAATTCCTTAGAGGCTGGATGGTTGCCCAAGGTTACATGGTAAGGGTCAGAGTTAGGACTAGGAAGGCCTCGCTCCGCCCTCACTGTGTCCCCTGGAGACTGTGGAGACGGCCCTGCTTATGTCTTCTATCTAATCACCTGGCATTGGACCCTCATTATCTGCAGGTCCACACTCCTGCCCAGCCTCTCATGTCCTTCCCTAGCATCTCCCTAACTCTCCAACCAGAGGGAGGTTTTGCCCTGGTCATCCAAAGCACCATTTTTCTACAGGGATTAAGCACAAGTATAGCTGTTAGTCTGTACCTTTAACTTGGGTTAAACTAATGCAGTAAAGACAGAGAGATTCCCGGATGTCGGTGAGACTCCCAGTGTAGACCAAGAGATAGTTGAAGCCAGGACCTCTGTGGCCAGGAGTCTCCATCAGAGGGTCTCCCCAGCGCCTTCCGTAAGGTGTGACCCAGACCCTGTTCTTGGCACGTCACAGGAGCTCACGGGCACTTGGCTGCCCCACCACATGCACTTCCTGCGAAGCTGCAAGAGGGTAGCTGTTCTCAGGGTGGGAGGAGAGTGGGCACAAGTGGTGCGTCCTGCCCTGCTCTTGGACACCTGGAAACCCATGAGTGGGTGGTGGGTGCCGTCACTGAAGAGCGGTAGAGGCTGTAGACAGTTTGGAAACCACCACAGGCCCCTTAGGCTGCAACTGCCGCAGTGACTGTAAGGGAGACATGTCCCCGCCTGTGGGGAGACAGGCAAGAATGGCCACCAAAGAGGGCCAGCTTAGCACCCAGGGGACAGGGAGATGCGAAAACAGGTGCAGGGGAAATTGGCTGTTCAGTCAGTGGTTCCTAGACTTTGGGGTTTTGTGCATGAAGAAAATTAAAATCAGAATGGGGGAGATTGAGAAAGGTTACTAATGTACTGTGACGTGGGACGGATCCCCATCATTTCATAAAAAGAAATTCTCACATATCCCCTCAAAAAGAACATCGCCTCAGATTCAAAATAAAAATTTCAAGCCGTACAGTACCTTATTTTTTCTCATCTCAACAAGAAGGAGCATGTGCTATGTATCGGCACAGCCCCGGGTGCTGCTTGGCAAGGATGAAGCCCAGTGCAGCGCCCACCGTGCCGACGGGTGCTCCGCAGGGCGCGCCCTCCGGCTCCCCCCGCGGGAAAAGCAAGGTGCAGTAGGCTCTCAGCTAGCTCTTGACTCTGAGCTTATCCCTCATCTCCTGCCTTGATCTCTGAGCTTCTATTTCTGTTGGCCTGGGGAGGCCAGAACTGATGCTCTCATGCCTCTACTTACAGATTAAAACTGAGGATCTCGGTGACTCCCTGCAGCAGAGCCTCTCGCACAGGCCATGCCACCTGAGTCAAGGGCCTGCCATGATGCCTGGAAGCCAAATGTCTGGGGTAAATGCCAGCCTGTGTCATTTTCAGTGGCCAGTGAGTTTATTTCAAACCTCTGCAGTATGCTTGACCTCTAGAGTTGGCACTCTGGTGAACCTGTATTGGTCTGAAGAACCCCCTTCGGGGATGTGAGAAAGAGATCGGAGGCCTGGGGTGGGGGTGAGGTTACAAAACAGTCCCTTTAAAAGTGAAACGTAGCTCATTGTGGGAAAAGTGAGGTCTTGACCCTCCTGGGAGAAAAAGGAGGCAATCTTATCAAAACAGCAAACGTACGGTGACTGTTCAGGGAAGCCCTGTGACAACAGCTACCTATGGTTCTAGGTGTTTCTGTCCCTGGTTCCCTCCCCCCCGCACGTTTTCACAGCAAAGGCAAAGTAGGACAGAGCACTGGCCCAGGGAAGAGAGGCACCCTGAAACTGCGGCCAGTGTCGGAGAGGCGTTCATGTGGTGAGCTCCTTTCTGGGCCTGGATCACCTGGGGAGGAAAGAGACCTCCTTTCTCTGATCATATTTAGAACTAGGATGTACACCCATTTCTTCACTTCTTTATTCAGCAAGAACTTACCAAGCAAGTCCTTTATTTGAGCACAGACCTGAGCTTCGCACCATAAGGGCACAGAGCCCTGGAGGTCTATGCACAGAAGATTCCCAGACCCCCCAAGTACTAGGATTAGTGTTTCCATTTTCTGGCCTGATGGGAGGAACCCAGGGAAAATGGGTTTTCTGTGAAATCAAATTGGTTTTATTAAGAACTAATAACTTGCTGCCTTCCTTCGGCCTAGAAACTGGCCAAGACGTGGCTTTTAGCATAATAAAATGCCATGAGATTTTAAAAAATTGGACAATTGGGATTGCATGTCACTTTTAGGGTAAATATCTGAGAGATGGACAATCCTTAGTCTGTGCCCCAGGGGCATTTAGAGTCTAGCTGGGAGACGGGACTGACGCACACAAAGGTTAAATCACAAGGCAAGGTGTAATAGGTCGGTAGGTCGCGAGGTGCTCCGGCCGAGCTGTAATGCCACCAGCATTAATGGAGTAGCTATTACGTAGCTCCTGGTGACACACAGAGGCATAAGGCAAGGTCACTGCCCACATACTCTCCAAGTCTGGAGACTCCTGGAACAGATGGGCAGCAGGCAGATGGAACTGGCACCCCCAGGTTGTAAATTCTGTGATGTATGTATCTCCCCACATGCAGGATATGACTTCCCTCCATCCCCTCCAGCAGCTTGTTCTGGTTCCCGGCCACTTACAGTCTGTGTCCCAATTCCTGCTCTCTCAGACGCAGCCTGGGCAGCCAGGTAAGAACCCGGGTTTCACAGAGACAAGCACAGTGAAGCGCTGCTGCTGCCACTGGGTGAAGAGGAGCCCAACTCTGGCGCACGGCTTTTCCACATCAAGGCCTGAGGAGGGGACCCTGCCACTGCCCCTCCAAGCCGAATCTCCTTCTCGGCTTCCCATCTCCCGCAGCTCCAGGGCCAGTGGGGCCTGGGGTGCAGGGAGGCACGGAGCTGGGCCAGTACAAGGAAGGAGTAGCTCCTTGGGAATGCAGAACAGACAAGCCCCAGTTCCTCCNGGAGGCACGGAGCTGGGCCAGTACAAGGAAGGAGTAGCTCCTTGGGAATGCAGAACAGACAAGCCCCAGTTGAAATCCTTAGGGAAGCTTGACTGTGATTCTGCTTGGGTAGAGCAGCAGTGCCACCCACAGGTCTTCAGGTTTTCTTTGGCTCGGAAGTTAACTTCCAGGTAACTTGACCAAGAGCAGAGGGATTAGAGTATTTATAACAGTAGCTATAGCGATTTCTTGAGCATCATGTGCCAGGAGTTCTGCTGAGTGATTTTCCTGATTTATTTTTCAAAATAACCTTGTGCAGTAGGTAATCATATTATGTCTCTGGTGAGCTACTAGAAAGTTCCAGAACTGTCTGTCTAAGATCCATGCTCTTGGCCTACTGCTGTGCCACTTCTCCCTCTCCCGTCCACACCAGCTACATCCAAACGTGACAGAGGGAGTGTGAGCTCCAGGATGCAAACAGAATGGAACTGTTCCTTCTGCCCTTAGCACCTGCCTAAACCACAGCCCCACCCTTGCTGCACAGGCACCTTAGAGCACTACTGTAACCGTGAACGAGGACATTTGAGCCTTTAAGTATTTGTTTTGGCAAAATAATACATATCATACTCCTGGAATAGGAAAGGAAAGATAACACGCAATTCAGTTTCTTTTTGGAAGACAGTTGGCCCAGGCATATGACCAATGAGGCCAGCATGTAATACAGAGCAAACAGACAAAAGCCCAGTTCAAAATCTAGAATCAGAAAAACTCATTGGTAAAAATTACTACCTGTGTGTCCTTGGGAAACTTACCTTAACCTCTTTGAGATTTTATTCCTTCCTCCATAAAAATGAAACAATAGTAAAGTTCTGCCTCAGGAGGTTACTGAGGCTACTTGAGATAACGCACGTGAAAAGACTTTGTACATTTCAAAACACAACAAAATGTTTGGTTACGATTGGTATTCAGGCCTCTGGACTCCTAGTCCAGGGTTCCTGCCCATTTATTTTAATAATAAAAAGTCCAAGTCCTGACTTTTTTAGACTGAGGAGCATAAAGGTCAATATCAGCTGATGCTATACATCAGTGACCTAAACAGTGACCTAAAACAGCTTAGGGACAGCAGAGACCCTGAGGCTTTGCCCCGGGCTGAGGGATGGGGTGACCCACCCACAGTCTGCTGTGTGTTTGATGGCCCCTCCTCACAGCGAGAGTGGAAGTCCTGGCTGTGATCTCTCCTGGAGAAAGACCACTGTCACAGCCCTGCTGGGCAGATTCCTTCATGGACACTTTTCCGGGAGAGGGAAGGAGAGTGCAACGAGCGGTGCAGTCCATGCCACCAGATAGCTTCCAGCCAATGGCCCACTGCCCTCTGGAGCTGTATGGCCCCGTTCACTTGTTCTGACATCCTTGTAGGTCGGCTGGGACTGTGTCACTCTCCCAGCTACTTCTGCAGGCACAAGGGAAATTCTCAGCCTCACCGTGATTTCTTCACAGTCACACCTGCATCTCCTTCCCTCTTGGATTTCTCCAGCCTGGTTACCAGGCCTCAGAGCAGGTGGTTTTCACCCTCCTCAGCCTTGTACCACTCAGGCCGCAGGCGAGCAGAAAGTCTGGTTTGGGGACTGCTGTTTACATCTGTTTAGCCCTGTGTCTGATTTGCCTCTACCTGTGTGTGGCAGGGCCTGGCAGTACCTGTGGGGGCCTCTACACAGGGCTTGAGGGGGGCTGAAGGCTTGATCAGTTAGCAGGGATGAGGAGACTTATCCTGCTTCCAGAGTTATAGAGCATGTTTTCCAAATGCGTGAATTTTATTTGTTCATTTGTCCCTCCCTCTCACCCAGGTCTGCAGTCAAATCTCCTCCCCTTTCCACAGCAGCAAGGCTCTCTCCTCCTCCCACAGACTGGACCTGGCCTGGCGTCCCAGGTAAACAACCACATTTTCCCCTTTCCTCCAGGAATGCCTCGGCTTTCCACAGAGTTGAGTTCATTGGTTTTCCTTCAACCCCTTAATGGTGCACTTACCCCTCTGGAAGGAGGGGCTAATGGGGAATTAGTCCTATTGGTTCATGGACAAGTGAAAGCCACAGCCAGGGGAAATGACTGACCCACTATCACTGGTAGAGTCGGAGATCTCAGCTCCTGGGCTAGCCTGCTCCAAATGCAGGCACTCTACTCTATCCCCAGCCAGAACCAAGCCATCAGTGATCTCAAAACCAAAGGCCAGCTAACTTCCTAGGGATGCCAAGGTGATGGCCAGCCCAGCCTGGGTGCTCACAAGCCCGAAGGGGGAGACCAGAGTCCCATAGCCCTGATGTCCCAAGACCACAAAGCCAGTGGCTCTTACCTCTGAGCCTCACTTAAGACCTATCCTAGGCTGCCTACCGCAGTGGGCGTGTGTGGGTCAGGAGGGCTGGGGTCTGCAAGAGGGGCCATTTAGAAACATGCCAGGTTGTACATAGCACCCGTCTGCCAACTAGAAAAAGTGCACCTCTTCCTCTGCCTAGATGTGGCCTCCTGTCAGGGTGTATGGCCTGGCAAGAGTAGCAGGAGCTGTATTGTGGCTGGCTCTCCAACATTATCTGCATAATTAATAACCTGCACAGTTTCAGAAGATGGTTCTGTAGAAATGGATGTGCAGAAGACCGCAGAGACCTTAAGGGCCCCTCTCTATGCTAAGATTCCCCGTGGGCCACTCAGAGCCCGGGCTTTAGAAGGTGCCATCCGAGGAAGACATCTGGAAGGACAGTGCCATCTAGTGGCTAATAGAAATGGGGACATTAGAGTCATAAGCTCTTCCACTCTCTCGGGATGGACTTCTTGAGACCAACTCTTACTTCTTACAAGAGCCAGGAGGGAAAGTTATTAAGATCAGCTGGACAGTGGGATAAGGGACTGGCCTGGGGTCGTGGCAGTAAGAATAGAGGGAGGGGATGAATGAGGAGATGTTGGGGTAAGTTGAATCAATGCAACTTGGCATCTAATTGGATGTGAAGCGGGGAGAGCGAAGGTCTAGCAAAGAACTTATTAAGTATTTGTCAGATCAAAGAACAAATAGATTAATAAAAGGAAGGCTCAAAGAAGACTGAGGCTTTGTTCTGAGGGTCTGGTCCATGTCGCCCCCAGGGTCAAATCCATAATAGTCTTAAATCATTCTATTCTAAAAGACCCTTCATTAGGGAAAAGAGTCCTTAACGTCTTTCAGGTCCTTTTACCTTCCTCATCGTAAGGGTGCCTATCTTAATGGTAAACCTGAATATCTTGGACTTGAAAAGGAATAAAGTTAACTCCAGCCTAGGAAAAGAGTAAACTGGGAAAGAGGGAGAAGAGATGGGCATAGGCCACACTCTCGACATGGGCAGTGGCCCCACGTGGGGCACAATGCCTGGACCCGAGGCTGGGTTTCATTCCTTCCCTGTGGAGTGACAGATGTCTTCATGAGTTCAGTTCACTCCTGACCCCAAGTGGCTAAAACACGGAGTGTAGGTTTAAGGGTCTATTTTCCTATGAAAATAAAGTAAAGAAACAATTTCTCCCGAGAACCACAGATGAGATCACAGTGCATTTAGAGAGCAGTGGAATGCCTTTGATTAAAAACCAACCAAAAAACAACAACAAGAAAACACTCTCATGAAACAACATGATGGTTTAGAAAGTAAAATGGCCATCACAAGAGTTTGGAATTTTATAGAAATTCCATTAATGTGACTAGTCTTAGGTGTCCTGTTATCTTCAGTTAATGCCTATTGAACACCTCAGTGGCTTTGCTTTGTGGAAAAAAACAGACAAAGCAAAAAACCTTTCGCTTGTCCTGGGATTTCTTTTTGGAATCTTTGTAAACAACGCTGCTGGCTCCTTTTATGGTGGAAAACTGAAAAGAGGAAGGTAACTGCTAAGAGTCAGTGCGTCCTAGGATAAAACCCAGCAGGCTACCTTCCTGTCCCGTAAGCTTACTGCTTCTACCCCAGCTATTCTAGGTATTTGCTATTGCTTTATATAAACTTCAATTTCCACCTCCATGCCATTGGAAAAATAGGAATTCAATGTAGCCAGGTATCTGTCATCTTCCAAGTGGCCTATTAGTAAGAATATCAGAAAATACCACCTAATTTGTTCACGATCTGTGCATCTGCTTGACTTGTGTTCCCTCTTAGGCAGTTGGGCGCCCCGGGCTGCCGGGCTCTTTAGACCCCCACCTGGAAGTGCCCCAGCATGTCCCAGTGCCTAAGCATATGCCCAGCACCGGAGGGGCTGATGAGCCCAGTGACCTGGAGGAGCTGGAGAAGTTTGCCAAGACCTTCAAGCAGAGGCGCATTAAGCTGGGCTTCACACAGGTTTGATTTTATGAGAGGAGATGGAAGAAGCTGGGCTGAGCAAGTGGAAACTGGGCTTCCCCAGTACAGGTCAGGAGGAGCCATGCTGGGAACCAGCCCATCGTGTTCCTGTGCTCCTTGAGAATAGGGCGCAGTTGCTGTTGGTAGGGAAACAGAGGACATTGCTGGTGGAGGGGAGAGAAATGAGAGCCAGACAAGGGGTCAGGAATATGGGTATGGCCCACTCAGAGTCTATGAAGAGAAGTAAAACAATTCTCCATCTTAGAGGGACAAAAAACCTAGGAAGGAGCCAGGGTGATAGGTGAGTGCTGAAAGGCTCACTGGGTGCGCGACTGGTGCTAGGGTGGTGGTGGGTCTGGACCAAGAAAAAAGCAGCCTGTCTTTCAAGTTACTCCCTTTCAACCACACTCTCAGGGAGACGTGGGGCTGGCAATGGGAAAGCTGTATGGCAATGACTTCAGCCAGACCACCATCTCACGATTCGAGGCACTCAATCTGAGCTTCAAGAACATGTGCAAGCTCAAACCACTGCTGGAGAAGTGGCTGAGTGATGCAGGTAGGCCTCGGGCGTAGGGTGGGCGATGCCCTAGGAATTCTGCAGGGGTGGCTCTGCCTGTGTTGGGGCCTGAGGCAGTCAGTCAGTACATCATTCCCTTTCTTCTTCTCCTGACTCTGGAACTGACTGAAATGAGACACTGGCAAGTGCAGATGGAAATGTCAGTTTTGTTGCTCATAAAGCCCTTTGGAGGACATGGCTTTAGTTCTGTGGCCATGAAGACTTGCACACTGCCTGCCCCCCTGAACCCAGATCCACCCAGCCGAGACCTCAGGACAGCTGGCCAGAGACAAAGGGTGGGTCTGCAGAGCAGACGTACTCATGCAGATTGCTGTCTGGACTGGGTCCAGGCCCGGGGGAGAGGGAAGTGTGCTCTCCAGAGTCTCACCGGGAGGAGGGGGCAGTAGACGTGACAGAAGGTCCTTACCCGGCTGGTCCTGAGTAGGTTTTCAGAGGGAAGGGGCTGCTGTGAGCTAGGCTGGTCCAGAATGCCTTACAGCAGGAGTGGAGTTTGCAGGAAAATTCAGCCAGATGTGGTGACCAGGGAGGCGTTCCCGAAGGTGAGGGATGGAAGTCTAGGGACAAAGGTTTGGAATGATGAATGGAAGGCCTTGTGGCCAGGGACAGCATCTCGGCTACGGCACTGTCAGCGTCTCGGCCAGGCAGCTCGTTGCTGTGGGGGGCCGTCCTATTTGGCAGCACCCTTGTTCTCTGCCCACTAGATGCTAGTAGCACCCATCCCAGAATGTCTCCAGATATTGCCAGATGTCCCCTGGGGGGAGCGGTGATACAGAATTGCCCCTGGTTGAGAACCAGTGGTTTAGCCAAGAAGAAAGGAGCAGAGGCAGTGACAGGGCTGTGCTTCGTTCAGTCAAGGTGTCAGTTAGTGGTCCCTGTGGGAACAGTGGGTGGGCAGCCAGGGCTGTTACCCCTTCGAAGCCCCTCCACGTGGAAACATGGGAGGGGCAAGGAAGCTCCCTCCACAGGCTGCCCTCCACAGCCGCCCCTGAGCACCAGGGCAAGAGGCATGGTCAAAGGGACTGAGGACCTTTGGGAAAGGGCCTTATAGATTGTTTCTAGTGTGATCCCCATCTGACACCTGAATCCCTCCTAAGGGATATTCCTGACTATTAATCAAACAGCCTTAGCTCCAACACTCAAACTGAAAAGAAAACAGCTTCAGCACAACATTCTACCACCAAGGGCCCCTGCTTTTAGCTCCAACTGCCGTCCTCAGGGTACGTGGTGTTCACACCCAGGCGCACTCACGGGACAGATCAGGAGCGGTCCTTGCAGGAGCTCTGCCTGCCCCCACTCACCCCCACTGCCTGTGATGTCTGGGTGTCCCTAAACCATGGCTCAGACACGAGGTGCTGTGGGTGTCAAGAAGGACCTTGCCCAGAACCGCGAGGAGAAGCAGTATTTTTGGTCTGTCCGGTTCCCCTGGCTGGGGGAGGTGCCTCGTCCTGAGGACGCCACTGCAGAGCCCACCGCAGGCCCATCAGGACAGGACTGGCCGTCCTGCCCCCTTTGAGCTCCCCCCGCCCTCTTGCCTCCCACAGAATCCTCTCCCTCTGACCCCTCGGCGAGCGCGCCCAGCTCTTACCCCGCCCTGGGCGAAGTGTTCAGCAGGAAGAGGAAGAAGCGCACCAGCATCGAGACCAACATCCGCCTGACTCTGGAGAAGAGGTTTCAAGATGTGAGTGGCTCTGGGTGGGAGCAGACGCGGGTGAATGTGGGCCTCATGCTGCCAACCCTGCGCCACCTTCACCTGGCACCCCCTCTACAGACACCCAGGGCTTTGCGTGAAAGTCTGCCCTTTATCTCAGGGGTAGGAACATCCCCCGCTGACCCTTCCTGCCCCAGCGCCTCCTGACGCCCACTGTCCCTCACAGGAGACGTGAAGAATATGTGGGGTCCGGGAAGAGAGTGCAGCTCTGTGGCCAGTTGAAGTAAAGGGAGCACAGTCAGGGCGTGGCATATAAATTCTTCATTTTCTATGCATTGCTTGTAGTTTTCAAATTATAAATATAATAAATACTTACTGTAAACAATCAGGAAAAGACAGAGATGTAGAAGGAAGAAAGTCATCATCAAATGCTTCTGAATGTGTTTCCTTTCATTTCTCTTTTCTATGTACATTTAAATACTTGTAATCATATTATATCCAGACATTCTTTACCTTGTAGCAAAAGCAGAGCCTTGAGCCTGTGTGTGGAAGATAATATTAACTATGCATCCCCTGGGAGCTGGGTGAGGGAGAGGAGAAACAGGTGTGGTCCAAAGAGCTTCCAATCAGGATCCCTCAGGCACCAACCTCCAGGGCCTGCACCTCCACCCCTCAGTCCCTACAGGTAGTGCCTGTGGCCCACTTCAGGCTGCAGGCCTCGGCCTCCAGGACTCCGGCGCCTCCAGCAGGTTCTGCAGTACATCTGGTTCAAGGATTTGATGGCTGCATCCTGATGGCAGGGTGACAGGAGCTGGCTTTTTCTTCCGATTAGGTTTCTCAGAGCAGCAAGAGTAAGGGAAGGTGTAGGAGGGAGGAAAGGGCTGAGATCAAAGACTAGGTGAGTGTAGTAGGGGTCAGAACAGAGTGTGACCTATATTTCCACAGTCTTGATGGATTCACGTGTTTTAGCTTTATCATTTCCTATTTTGAGGTAGGACAGGAAGCAATGCCACAAGAGAAACACACCAGGTTATGAGGACAGGTCACAGAGGAGAGCAGGGTCTGAGGGTTCTTCTTGTCCCCACGTAACTCACCAAGACTGTTCCTTTCAGAACTCCTCCTGAAGGAAGGCGTAAGAGAAGAGAATCCGTATCAGGCCCTGTGTTCGGCATTCTACACACATTTTCTCATTCAATCCTCACAGTAATCCTTTTTGGTAGGCATTATTATTCTCATTTCATAGATGATGGGACTGAGGCTCAGGGAGGTTAAGAAAATTTAAGGACACGCAGTAAGTGATGAGCCCGTACCCCATCCTGGGCCTGTCCTAAAGCTTTCCATCCAGTGGTTGTCTTATCCTGCTTCCTTGGAACATCTCTCCCTCCCCCAGCTCTTGACCCTATTCCTTCTCCTGACCCTCTATCCCTTCGGTCTCTGTAGAACCCCAAACCTAGCTCAGAGGAGATCTCCATGATTGCAGAGCAGCTGTCCATGGAGAAGGAGGTGGTAAGGGTCTGGTTCTGCAACAGACGCCAAAAGGAGAAGCGAATCAACTGTCCTGTGGCCACACCCATCAAATCACCCATCTATACTTCCCGTCTGGTGAGTGGCCAGGAAGCAAGCTGCCTGCCAAGCACTGGGGGAAATGATGGCTGGAGGGCCAAAAAGTCTTCTCCATCCTGGGGAAGATGGGGTCTGGGGGTTAATGGCTGCATTAAGTAAATAGATGAGCAAATAGATGCTGTATATTAAATATGTAATATACAGAGGAATAACAAAGGGTGGGGAGATGAAAGCGATCGTGAGATGCTTTTTAATAGAGAGGTCAGAAAGGACTTCTCTGATAAGGTGACATTTGAGCAGAGATCTAAATGTTGAAAGAGAAATATCTCAAGGAAAGAGAGTTCCAGGCAGAGGGACCAGTGAATGAGACTACCTGGCGTGTTAGAGGAATAGCGAGAATGCCAGTGTAACTGGGGCAGAGCAAGGAAGGAGGCCAGAAGGAGGAGGTGATGTGAGAGAAGTAAGAGGACGCAGATCACCCAGGGTCCGGAGGCCATTGAAAGGACCCTGGCTTTTAGGTTTATGAAATAAGTCGCTGGAGAGCTCTAAGCAGAGAAGCCTGCACTGGCTGACATGGGCTGCTGTGTAGAGAAAAACTTGTGTGGAAGCAGGAGACCAGCTAGGAGAATTACAGTAACCAGGCTAAGAGCAGGGAGGCTTGGGCAGGGTGGAAGCCATGGTGGTGCGGACAAGCGGTTGAATTCTGAATATGCATCAACTGTGGAGCCAGCAAGACGTGCTTATAGCTCCGGTGTGGACTGTGACAAATGAGGTAAAGATGACTTCAAGAGTTTTAGCCTGAGCAGCGGGTTGGAAGATGCTGCCATTTTTTTTGAGATGATGAAGACTCAGGAGGAACTGGTTTGAGGGGAAAGACTAAGAATTTAGAGTTGGTCGTATAAGTTGGACGTGACTCCTAGACGTCCAAGAGGAAGTGTCAAGCAGACAGTTCTATCTATAATTCTGGCAGTCAGGGGAGAAGTCAGAGCTGGGAATAATTTGGAGTTCAGGCAGACCTGGAAGTTTGGAGAGTAAAAACATCATCTCTATCCAGCGAAGAGATGGGGCCTAGAGGCTGGGCATGCGAGGTTCTTCTCTGTCCTTGGAGATAGTGATGACTGAAGGTTACGAACGTTGGGGATAATGGTGATGTCCTTGAGTCTTTAGCACTCAAGGATGAATGAAATTCAGCCTGGTCTAGGCAGTTCCATAAAACTACACTGTTATTCATTCTCTCACCAAACATTATTGACTATCTACTACACATTGGTGTTTGTGCAGAAACACCAATATGTATACAAGTAAATAGTATTTGTCCCCTCTCTCAGAGGACCTCATTGCCTAGCAGGGGAAACAGTCAAATAAACAAATGATAAACAACATGACAATTTCTCTAGGAGAACTTAGTAGTCACAGCTAATAAAGCCTGGGAGGCAGTGGTTGGGGAAGGCTTCCCCAAGGAGATAATTAATACTTGGGCTAAGTCTAAAATGCAAAAAGGAATGGAGAGGCAAAAAAGCAGGGAGGTGGGGTTTTCCCAGGGGGAAAGTAGGAGGACAGTGGTTCAGGTCAGAGGGAATATAATGTAATTTCACGGGACCAAAGGTGGTTCCATGTGGAAGAAATGTTGAAAGATGAGACTGGATAGATCAGCAAAGGCCAGACTTAAGGGACTATGTGCAATGTTAAAAAGATTAAGGCTTAGAATGACCATTCTAACTTCAGTATAAGAGGTTGCTTGAGAGGCTGGGAGGAGAGAAATGGGGGCTGAAGCAAAAGCAAGTGGTAAGAATGAGGGGACTGGGAAAGATTCAGGAGATAATTAGAAGGTGAAATTATTAGGTGTTGGCTAACAAACTGAAAGTTGGGGACACGGAGAGTGATGAAGGAAAGAGAACACTCTGGGATGACTCTCGGCATTCAGGTTGGGCTGATTGGGTAGGTGGGACAAGCAAACATGGGAGGAGCTAGTTCGGGAATTGGAAAAAGTGATCATTTCAGTTCTTTCCATTATTATGATATTTAGTGAGGCCTGTGGGACACCCAGTAGCAATGTCCATGGGCACTTAGAATTATGAGTCTGGAGGTCAGGAGAGAAGGCTGGGGTAGAGATATGGATCAGGGAGTCCTAAGCATACACAAGGTGGTTGAAATCCTGGGGGGAAAGGAGCTCACCTGTGGAGTCTGCACAGAGGAAACAAAGAGGGAAGCCCAGGTCTCAGCCCTACAGAACACCGGCGCCTGAGGGATTGGCAAAAGAGAGAATCAAGGGAAGAAACTGAAAAGGAGAAGCAGAAAAAGCAAGAAATTGCAATGAAATAGGTGCAAGGGGTCATGTGGGTGTGAGGAGCTCTGCAGGAGTGCTACAGGAACACTGATAGAAACACCGGGGTCGGTCTGAGAGGGCTGACACCCGCTTACTTGAAGAGCAGGTTAGAAGCTCACATGAGGAATGAGGTGTGGGGCTCCAAAGCAGCATGCTGTGTCTGGGGACTCACATGCATTTCAGTCTGGTTGGAGCCAAGGGTTTGGGACTAAGACAGAGAGATTGATAACGGCCAGATCATGATGGGCCTTGATACCAGAATACTCTAAAAACTATGAGAGTCTGTTAAAATTTTAAGTTGGAAGCAATGCGATATTCATTCATCATTCCTTTCTTAAATATTTCTTGAGCACCCGTGATATGTTTGGCACTGGGATACAGTGGAGTACAGGACCCTGTGACCCCTGCTTACAGTCCAGCAGGGAAAACAGACAAACAAATGCTATTTGTGCTGAAGCCTTCAGAGGAGATGTATGGGTATTTGAGGGACCTAACCTAGTCCAGGTGTCAGAGCTCCTCTGAGGAGTGAAGTTCAAACAGACAGCAGAAGAATGAGTGGATGTTAATGGGGAAAAGGTGTGGGTCCGGAGGACAAGGAGGAGACAGCACAGGGAAGGACCTCGTAGGCAGAGGAAACTGCACAAAGGCCCTGGGGCTGGCGTGGTGGAGAGAGGGAGCATAGAAGGCTTGACTGGGTTGGACCCCAGCGAGTGAGGGAGAATGTGAATGAAGAAGCGGAGAGGTTGGCGGGCTGGATTGTTAGGGTGTTGTAGGTCATGCTAAGGAAATTGGACCAGGTCATAAGCACATTGGAATCTTTAAAGAGGGTGCTTTGTTTAGAGCGAATGGAGAGAGGTTTTCACTGTGGTTCAGTCCCAACCGAGGACACCAGCAGGGGAAGAGCAGTGGCACACGAGGGAGCTGCCCAGGAGGCTGACTTGGTCTCATCATTCATTCAACATGTATCTGCTGAGCACCTGCAAAGTTCCAAGCACTGTAGTCGACACTGAGGATGTAACAGTGAGCCAGCCGCACAGGCACCATTCTGCCCTCACCAAGTCTGCAGCCCAGTGGGGAGCGGGAGACATTAAATGAACAATTACATTTCTACTTGCAGTGTTATGAAGAAAGCAGGTAGAGAAAATGTTCTGACCCTCTCTCAGGCCTCACTGGGACAGCCTCTTTGGGATTAGGACATAGTTTCTCCTGTTCCTAATACGAAATGATCTCCAAGGTATACAGTTCAGGAAAAAATAAAAAGCAACATGGTGTGGACCAGTGCGGGCAGAATGCTACCATTTGCAGCTGTAAAAAGGGAGGAGCTCTTACCCTTTGAGACGGCACGGTGGGACCTGAAGAGTATTGTGCTAAGCGAAACAAGCCAGTCAGAGAAAGACAAGTGTTAATGATCTCATTTATATGTGGAATCTAATGAACAAAATAAACTGATGGACAAAATAGGTCCAGAGGCATGAAACATGGAACAGACTGACGAATCTCAGAGGGAAGGGGGGGCAGAGATTAACCAGAGAACTTATGGACATATATGCATAGCCCATGGACACAGACGACAGTGCAGTGAAAGCCTGGGGCGGGGCGGGAAGTGGGTGGAGGGGGACAATGGGGGAAAACGGGGGCATCTGTAATACTCTCAACAATAAAGATTTAAAAAAAATTTTTTTAAACGTTGGAAAGGGGGGAACCATATATATGTCTGCTTGCTTGTGCATAACCTGTCTCCAGAAGGAAACTTCTTAAAAGCTGGTCACAGTCACTAAATACATTATTTATTTAAAAACAATGAATTTCCTGGATGTGGCAGAAGGGAGGGGAGGAGAGAGGGAGAGAGGTCATTGATAACGCCTCTTACCAAGCCACCCACACCTGCGCCCGCCCTTCGGGACCCCGAGGATGCTCACCGTAGACGGGCAGGCGGATGCAAGCAGCAGGGCATTGCTGATGAATTAGGAAGTGAGTGATGCAAGCAGCAGGGCATTGCTGATGAATTAGGAAGTGAGTGCCTGCCTCCTCCTGTTGGGATGGATGTTACAAACGGGGAGGGAAGGAACATCAGATCCCAGCTCCTTGAGCAGAACTTCCTTCTGATGTCTTTGGAAAGCATTCATCAGAGCTTCGCCTGTCAGCACGAGAAGAGCAGGGGAGGGAAAGCATGAAGATTTCAGTTCAGGAAGGAAGGGCACTGGCACCCACCTTGCCTGGCACTCCTTGCCAGTTATTGAGTTGGAAGCTTAGAACATTATCATGTTAATTGTTAATTAAAAGAAACTATAAGGGAAGTATTGCTGCTAGTTTACAGATGAGAAAACCAAATCTCAGTGGGGTTACGTAACTTGCCCAAAGTCACACAGATAGTTGGTGGAGCCAAGTCTTTCTATTTCATCTTGTTAAGTTCTAGGATAGTAACACTGAGGGGGAGATTCCTGAACTATGTCGGAGGGTAAAGTAAATTATCTTAGGTCCCTTCCAAAATCCCAGAGTTGATGATGCTGTTAGGTCTCCAGGGCAAAATTCAAAGCTTCAGAGACTGAAGTTCAACTCCTCCAGTCATCTCTGGAGAGTTGATGGTCCACTTGTGCATCCGGCTGGGAAGCCCGAGACAGCGTTGTCAGGGCTGGTGCTTTGCTGGTGCTTTGAGCAAAAGCTGGCGTCTTTTACCAGGAAGAAGTGGGGACTGAAAAATAGTGTTTGCCACAGCAGGGTCTAAGACGCATGTTCCTTTCATTGCCAGAGCACTAGAGCACAGCTTTGACCTGGCAGTGCCAAGAAACCTTCCAGGGGACACAAGCAGGGTGGGCAGGACCTGGTGTTGGCACAGGGAGCTATGGGGGCAGGGTAAAGCTGGAGCTCGTTGTGGTATGTGGTTCAGTAGCCTTCCTATGAAATAGGACAGGATGTAGGTTTGAACTAGGAAATCGTCAAGAAAGCAAAGACCTGGTCTCTGCAGAGTCTGGGACCCAGCCAAGGTTGGAGAAGGGAGCAGAAATGGACATTTACAACCTTCTGTTGCCTTTCAGGTCTCTCCCTCTGGGTCTCTGGGCCCCCTCTCCATCCCTCCTGTCCATAGCACCATGTCTGGAACAGGTGAGCTTTGAAATGAAGTTTCTGAATAACACCAGAATTCCTTTAAAGAATGAAAGGTACTTACCTAAGTCAGAATTACCTACGTGTATTTCAAATAATATTAAAGTCTGTGCTGGAGGAAAAGGGTTCCATGATCAAGTAAGTTTGGGAAATGCTGAGGAAGCAAAGTTTAAACAAGTGTTTATTTTTGTTTTATTTTGATTGCAGCACTTCTCAGCACTCAAGTACATTATATATGCCTGAGGGAGCTGGGTGGGAGGCTAAAGGAAGGCAGGGTTTTCCAACTGGTTTCCTACAGAACCCTACTTTTCAAAAAGTGCCTACAGCATTTCAAAAATCTAAATAGGGTGACCTATGTCTGGATGCGCCCAGGACAGTCCTGGTGTCTGCCTCGTCCTGACGTTATCAATAGCATTCCTCTCCACTCCTCAAAATATCTTATTTGGATGGTAAAATATATGTCACCTTGTCCATGGAATGCTATTTGGAAAACACAAATACAGAGCTCAGTTAAATCCAAATCTACCACTTTGCAGAGCACAAAATGAGTTTCAGGGAGCAAAGCCAGTGGCCACAGGGCTGCTTAGCCTGGGGCCCGGGCTTGGGTCTCCTCGCTCCTCCTGCTCTGTCTGGAAGAGCACGTGCCTTCCGCAGAGCACCAGGGGGCCGGCAGTCCCTAGGCGCAGGCCCTCCTTCCTCCCCCTCCTCTCTCTTTCTGACGCATCTTGTTCCCTTTCCCTTCCCGCCTCTTGGTCTGGGGCTGGGGCTGCAGAGGCACAGCCCAGGGTGTGACCTGCGACAGGACAGGATGGTGCTGGCACCTGTCCTCCGTGTGTCTGGCGAGTCTAGGACTTGCAGAACCCCCTGTGCCACTCTTCAGGGCCTGGCTTGAGAACATTCATGATGGGAACCTTCTGGGTCTGGGTGCTAAAGCTAATGCGGCAGGAGCCGGGGGACGGGGGGAGAGGGTCAGGCCCCTTTGTGGGTGGTGCTTCGCAGGGCCGCTTCGCAGGTCCCCGCAGGACCCGGCCACATTGCCTCCCCTTGTTTTCCCCTCTCCTCATCCTCAGTAACATCATCCTGCTCCCCGGGGAACAACAGCAGGCCTTCCTCTCCCAGCTCAGGACTTCACGCCAGCAGCCCCACTGCATCTCAAAATAACTCCAAAGCAGCCGTGAACTCCTCCTCCGGCTTTAACTCCTCAGGGTAAGAAGGGAGGGGGGAAACCAGCGACATTCCAGCAGGGCCAGGGGACAATGTGAGAGGCTGGGTCAAAACCTTGGGGAAAAAAGCAGTCACGGGGTTGGAAAAAGGGAATGGGATGGCAGAGAGGGGACAGAGTAGAGAACCAAACTGGACTTTATCCCTAGGGAGTGGGATTTAAAAGAAAAGCTTCAGCCAGCGAGCATTCCTGGCAAGGAGCTCACGTCAACAAAGCCAACATTTCTGTCCTCACTGGGAAGGTGGAAATTTCCAAACACTTGTGTCAGAAAGGGCCAAGCCCTTCACTCGGCGTATGAGTTCTCCTCTTCCTGCCAGGAATCCTGTTCTGGGGTGTTCTCATGTGACCCTGAGCTTTGAGCCTGCCTGACAGTCAGAGAGGGAAGTTAGGATGCACTTGGGGGAAAGTAGCCTCTTGGGCCAAAGAATCTACTCTAAAAAGTATTTTCATAGCTGATGCCTTGAGAGATTCTTCCTTGACTCAGAACACAAGAGGGACTTGAAGGTAAGGTGACAGGTTAAAGACCTGAGCTTGTCTGAAGAGATGAACCCACTTGTCCAAACCCAGGTAGTTGAGCAGGGCACCTGCTCTCATTGGCCCATCGTTGCACAGCCCCAAAAGTTGGAGCTGCTCAACCACCCCCACCAAAAATAGGAAAGAAAACCATATAATGTACATTTTAAAATTTTATTTTGAGGTATAATTCATACGCCATAAAATTTATAATTTTAAAGTGTACAATTCAGTGGTTTTTAGTATAGTCACAAGGCCATGCAACTCTCACTATTACCTAACTCCAGAACATTTCATCACCCCAGAAAGAAACCCTGTGCCTATTCGTAGCTGCTGCGCATTCCCATCTTCCCATTAGCAGCTTTACAATTTGCTTGTTTCTTTCTCCCTTCCAGATCTTGGTACCGATGGAATCATCCCACCTACCTCCACTGAGACCAAAAAGTTTCTCCTATTCCACCTGGCCCTCTACTCCCCCCTGGGCGGAGGGAGTCATCCTTCTCGGTGTGGACGGGCGACCTTCAGAAGAGCAGAAGAGAATCCCCCCTATCACTGAACCTAAGCTGTCGCCTTCTTCATGAGCAAGGGCCTCCGGAGATTTAAACTGTGATTGAACCATGTGCTGACTCCTAGTGTCCCTGAAATATATAGCAGTCCCAGAAGTTGGCCCTCCTCGCCTGTGCCCACGCCCGCTCTAGCGCTAGGTGCTTCAGACAGTGCCACTGGCTCTGGGGACGCCGTTTGCCTGGGGTGCCGAAGTGCAGAGGGAGACGGTGGTTTTAACTCTGAACTTAGCCGCAATCTCTGAGCTGCTTCTGAAACCTGTGAAGAGATTTGAATCTGATGTCCCCACCAAAGCCTTGACGTTTTCTCTGTGCAGCGTTTTCTGACTGAATCTCCTCTCACCCAGCTTCCTCCTTAGCCCTGCCTCCTTTTCTAGAGCCAAGTCCATTCATGATTTTGTTCTCCAAGCCCCCTCTTCACCAAGGCCGAGGCCCTGGCCACGCTTCTCTGCCCACGGGCGCTCTTCTGTCGGCTGCACCCGCCGCAGGCTGGGGAGCAGGCCTCCTCCTCCCGCCACAGGAGGAGAGCAGGGGGCACACCCGCGGCGGTCGTGCTGGCAGAGCACCTGCCAGTGCCTCCCCCGCGCTGCATGTCTCTCCTTAACGTGGACTTTCCAGCAAAATATTTAACTCAGGTGTGAATTTTGAACATGTCTCTGTAATATGTTATCTTCTTCAAAAAAAAAAAGAGAAAAATATCAAAGTGTGAAATACTGTGCTAGCTCCCACAAGAGTTCCCACATGTGCTAGGAATTCCTGTTGACTTCATGAAACATTATTTCCAGGCTCCTTTGTGGGCCAGTGTGTAGATGTCACGTGAAGCCATTCTAGAAACAGTAACCTAGAGAGAAACACTGCATATCCAAGGAAGTGTTGGGATTCAAAGGAATCTCCCTGTTCCTAAGTAAATGTGTGTAGTGAAGATATAAACTGTTCCACTATTGATAAAAGAGGTTTAGATGACTGTCCTGTGTCTTCTGTTGTTGGGGGATGTGAGTGCATATGATGAAGTGGGATGGGGAAGGTATTTCCAGTTAATGCCTTAAGTCTGTTACTCCCAAAATTAATGCTGAAGACGACATACATTAATGCGGGGCTCTAAAGAGTTCAGAGTTCTTCCTCTTTTTGGCAGAATTGCCTTAAGGCAGAGAAGGCAAGAGATTGGTTTCCTCATTTTGTAAGTGGGAGATTGGTAAATATTTAAGGTCAAGTCATTTGAAGACTTAGCTGAGACTAACAGCTCATGTCTCCGATATCCTGAAAGTCAATTATTCATAATTCACAATGGGAAGCAACAGACATTTAAGGCAAATAATAATTTACTAATCATATATATTGGCTTTGGAAGGTGCTGTGACTTTGGTGAGGGGCTTAAGGGACAGGGAAACTGTCTTGTGTTTTTTTCTTCGGTTAATAAAAATTTAAATAGTTACCATTCCTGAGGTAAACTATGACCTGTGGGAAAGGGGGGCCCTTCAAAAATATAATGGCTGAAGGGGGAAAACTGAAATTGGGATTAGACATGTATTGCAAATAATAATATCCAAGTGGAAAATCTATACATAAATGAGTAAGAGTTAACTGTTCTTTTTATTTTTTAATATGTCTTTCTTGATTTCAGAGAGTGGGAGGGAGAGGGAGAGAGAAACATCAATGATGAGAGTCACTGATTGGCAGCCTCCTGCACGCCCCCCATGGGGGTTTGAGCCCCCAACCCGGGCATGTGCCCTGACCAGGAACTGAACCCCGATCTCCTGGATCCTAGGCTGACGGTCAGCCATTGAGCCAGGCTGGCCGGGTGAGTTAACTATTCTTGATATTTGAATGGGGCTCATATTAAAATTAATATATCCTGCCATGAAGTGGGGCAAGGACTATTAGTAGTTAGTTTCTCAAGAAAAGTGCTAGTTGAAAGAGGCTTGGTATGTAAAAAAAGATAGCAAAGGGAGCCTTCAGCAGGGACTTAAGTCTGTGGAGGGCCGCCGCCCAGGAGCCACGGCCCACATGCGTGCACTCGGGCACGCACTCGCCCCACACTCACGCGCCCAGCGGGCCTTCCCTGCAGAAACCCTGGCCGCCCTGACAGCTTGCTCAGGTGAGTGCTAAAAGTTGATCTACACTGTCCAAGACTCTGGTTTACATCCATTTGAACTTTAAAATAATACATTATTTTTATAGCAGTTTTAGATTTACAACAAAATTGAGATGACATAGAGATTTCTCACACACTGCCTGCCTCCACACGCACAGCCGCCCCCATTCTCAATATCACTCTTCAGGAAGTACTTTTTTTTTAACGAAGGATGAATGTACGTTGACACATAATCACTCAAAGTCTGTGTTTGCCTTAGCGTTCGTGCTGGTTGTGCATTCTAGACCTGGACAAAGCAGAACACGTTCGCCATCGTCATATCATACTGACAGTGGCCAGTGCCCTCAAGGTCCCGTGCTCTGCCTTTTGTCTCTGCTCCCTACACCCTTGCCTACCACTGACTTCTCTACTGTCTCCACAGTTTTGCCTTTTTCAGAGGTTATACAGTTGGAATTATACAGTGTGTAGCCTTTTCAGATTGATTTTCACTTAGTCATAGGCATTTAAGGTTCCTCCGTGTCTTCGGGCTTGAGAGCTCATTTCTTTTTAGCTCTGAATAGCGTTCTCTCGCCTGGATGTACCACTGTTTAGTTACCATTTGTCCACCTGCTGAAGGACATGACATCTTGGTTTCTTCCAGCTTTGGGCTATTATAAATAAAGCTTCTATAAACACCTGTATGCAGGTTTTTGTGTGAATATAAAATTTCAGTTCCTTTGAGTGAATACCAAGGAGCATGATTGCTGGATTGTATGGTAAGAGCCTAGAGTACATTTAGTTTTATAAGAAACTGCCAAGCTGGCTTTCAGAACGGCTGCTCCACGGTGCATTCCCACCAGTGAGGAGCGAGGGTTACTGCTGCTCTGCACCCGTGTCGGCATCTGCTATTGACTTGTTCCAGATTTGGGCCTTTCTGGAAGGTGTGTAATGGTATCTCACTGTTGTTTTAGCTTGCAATTCCCTGGTGACATATGGTGTGGAGCATCTTCTTATGCATTATTTCCATCTGTGTACCTTTTTGGTGAGCTGTCTGTGAAGGTCTTTGGCCCACTTTTCAACCCAGTTGTTTCTTACTGTTGAGTTTTAAGAATTCTGTGTATATTTTAGATAATGTTCCTTTGTCCTACATGTCTTCTGAAAATATTTTCTGTCAAATCTGTGGCTTGTCTTCTAATTATCTTGATATTTTCTTTTGCAGAGCAGAAGTTTTTAATTATAATGAAGTCCAACTTTCAATTATTTATTGCATGGATCATGTCTTTGGTGTTGTATCTAAAAAATCGTCATCATAGCCGGAGTCATCTAGGTTTTCTCCCATGTTATCTTCTAGGAGTTTTATTTTATTTTAAATATATCTTTATTGATTTCAGAGAGGAAGAGAAAGGGAGGGAGAGGTAGAAGCATCAATGATGAGAGAGTCATTGGTCGGCTCCCTCCTGCGCACTCCCTACTGGGGATCAAACCCGAAACCCTGACATGTTCCCCGACAGGGAGTCGAACCATGATCTCCTGGATCCTGGGTTGATGCTGAACCGCTGAGCCATGTCGGCCAGGCTAGGAGTTTTATTTTTTACCTTTAGGTCTATCATTCGAGTTCATTTTTGTGAAGGCTGTAAAGTCTGTGTCTAGATTTTTTTTTTTTTGCAGGTGGATGTCCAGTTGTTCCAGCACCATTCGTTGAAGACTATAATTTCTCCATTATATTGCCTTAGCTCCTTGGTCAAAGATCAGCTGAGACTATTTATGGGGGTCTATTTTGGGGCTCTTTGTTTGGTCATGATTAGTTTTTTTAAATAATTACCCAAGGATCTGTTTTTTAATTGATTTTTTTTAGAGAGAAAGGAATGGGGGGGGGGAGAGAGCGAGAGAGTGAGAGAGGGAAACACTGATGTGAAAAACATTGATTGGCTCCCTCCCATATGCACCACAACCAGGGGTCAAACCCGCAACCTAGGTATGTCCCTTAGCCAGGAATTGAACTCACAACTTTTTGGCTTATGGGACAATGCTCTAACCAACTGAGCCAGCCAGTGAGGGCTTGACCATGGTTTTTAATGAAGAAACAAAACAAAACAGAATTATAGTCTAACTGCTCAGCCTCTAGTACTTTCACTATCCATTGACTTGGACGGTTGTCGAATAGATTCAAACCTGAAAGTGAGCGTTGATTAGCATTTTATGCTGCATGATTTCATAAAACTCACAATTCCAGTAAAGTTTAACCAAAGCTTGGTTAGCTTCTTCAGCATCTAATCAGGCAAAAGTGAATCTAAGTGAATCTAAGGCCAACAACCAGTCATTGTTGTTGGGGAAAGAAAGGGGGAAAACTGTTGCTGTCGCTTCTCAAATCTCATACTTAGATCTTCAGTTGACTCAAGATCTGTGGGCCCCGCTGTGGGGTCCTAAGACTAAGGATTTTTGGTCCAACTCAGAGAATGAGCTTAGCCGCAGGTCTCAAATTAGGAGTCCCGCCCTGAGCACGCAGGGCCACGCGGGCCTGTCCTGCTGTGCACTCAGGACGCTCCTGTTGTATCTTCTGCAGCACCTTTGCTCACTCCGCAGCTTCTCCTGTGGGGGCTCCTTGTGGCTGAGGCTGTCTCTTTGCCTTTGTAGACCCATGGCTGGCATTGTGACTAGTATATGATAGGCAACTAAGATTTTTCAAAATTGAATTTATTACTTTTCTTTAAACAACTTCTAATGCCCTTCTAATGCCCGTCACTAAGGTAAGGAGCTGTGAATACGGAAAAATCCAGTACATATCTGGGGAGATTCTCGTC